TTATTCATCTTAAAATGAAAATCAAAAGAAATTTTGAGATACTGAGATATATTCTTCTGATTCATTTATCCTTTTTCTGAAGACATTCAATTTAAAAAAAAGAATCGTAATTTTTATCAAATAAAATAAAAAAATACTTTTTTCCTTATTTGTGGACGTCCGCATGAAAAGGGACCACTTTGGCACTATTGGACTTATCTATATGGGCGAATTCCTGACAAAATTTGGAAAATTTTGAGTGGTCTTACAACCTTTTTGGTGAAAAATTCGATGAGTTACAGAATTTTAAAGTTTGGAGTATCAAATACGTCATTTCGAGAAAAACGAAATCAAAGATTGTAATATGAATATCTGTGGTTCTTCTGGGAAGTTATTCAGATAAGAGTTGTTTTAAGTCTAGTACACCCTTAAGATTGAAAATCAATAGGTTTCGAATTTTTCCCTCCCTTCGTTTTGAAACAATGAAAAAATAACAGATTTCCGACAAAGTGGTCCCTTTTCTAAAAATACGGTTATTAATTAATAAAGTGGAATATTTAACGAATTTAAAGGTTCGGTGTTATTTTTTAGAGTTATTTCAAGCAAAGAAAAGAAAAGTAACCTAAAAAAAATTTTTTAAGCGACTTTATTATAAAAAATCTTAGAAAAAATTAAAAATTTCATTTCTAAAAACACGAAATTAAAAATTGTAATGCGAATTTCTCCGGCTCTTCTGGGAAGTTATTCAGATAAGAGTTGTTTTAAGTCTAGTACACCCTTAAGATTGAAAATCAATAGGTTTCGAATTTTTCCCTCCCTTCGTTTTGAAACAATGAAAAAATAACAGATTTCCGACAAAGTGGTCCCTTTTCATTTTTTTTTTCTAACAACGAAATAAAATACTTAGAGTGTCAATAAATTAATAAAAACTGCATGAATCGACGTGGTAGACCCTGTAGATTAAGAAAAAAAGATAAAAAAAATTTCGATATTTTTCTTCAAAATTAGTAAATTGCGAATATCTCGGAATCTAGAACCGACAAAGTGGTCCCTTTTCATGCGGACGTCCACATTTAGTTATTTTGCATAATAAATTCGAAAATTATTTTTTTGAATGATAATTCCCCACGTGAAAATATTCTTAACAATCAGCCCAGGGGAATTATGGAGAGTCACTACCAAGAAATTACGGATATTTTATATTTTCTAGCACAATATTTCTAAAGTTATAAAATATACAACAAATAATGAAAATTTAGTGTTGGATCAAAGAGATTTCTCAACATTCTGAATCTAAATCAGTACAAATTATAAATAATCATTTTAGGGGAATTTAACTTAAAAATTTATCATTAGTAAGTTTTCAGATACTTTTCAGGGTTCAAGATGATTTATAGCAAATTTCTTAAGGGTTATACTATTGAATTAATTATGAAAAGGGTGTTTTAGAAAAGTTGTTTGTTCTCGAAAAATAATTATAAATTATAAATTAATGATTTTTTAAATAATCGGAACAAAAGTTAATCCAATGTCATAACTTCATATTTTAAAAGAAAGATATAAATTGAATTATAAAATTTGATTTGCTGGAAGGGAAATATTTCTATTACCAACATTTTCAACAATTAAAAGTTGCATTTGAATAAAAATTACAATTCTTTGTCAATAAGAAATATTTGTTAACTTTTAGGTAATGCTAGTACCTAAATCGTTTCTAATTGACAGAAAATTGTAATTTTTATTCAATTGCAACTTCAAATTGTTCAAAATATTAAAAATTAATTGGATTTAAATTTAAATGTTTAAATTTTAAAACTATAAAAAAATGGGAGACTAACTCTGCTCGGATTTGAAAATTAAATTCTTTACGCTTCCACCAAAACAATTTAAAAATTAAAGTGTCTTTTTCTATTAAAATACTAAATTATGACATCGGATTTACTTTGTTCCAATTATTTGTGTGATTCTTCCTTAATTTGAATTATTGATTGAGTCTTGCATTAGAATAAAAAATACAATTTTCTGTCAATAAGAAACGATTTAGGTACCATGACTTTTAGTTAACAAATAAAATTTATCTTTTTCTGTTAAAATACGAAATTATGACAAAGGTTTAACTTTTGTTTCGATTGTCCGTCAGATTCTTCCTTAATAAACAATTTTACTAATTTAAATTTAGAGGTTACTAAGGTAGTTTATAAAATATTTATTTAAAATGAATACTCTGAATGAATTCAAGGTTGCCACAAAGATTTAATTTTGTTTTTTCCTGATTTCCATACAAAATTGTGACTTTTTTACTGACCCTAAAGAATATTCTGATTCATTCTAAAAATGATTAGATACGCAAAAAAAAATTTTCTATCGCATTTATTTACGAATTTCCTTTATTGTAAAATTATTTAAAAACATCAATATCTTCATTTTCAAATAAATATTTAATCACTATTATTTTTCCATGGAAACTAACATTTTCAACATTTCTAATTCAAACATTTTGAAATGATATCAGAAGATATCTAAAAATATCGGAAGATATCACTTTCTTCACGATTTATAATAATTCTTCTTTAAATCAATTATTTTTAATAATTTTTGGATTATGCTTTTGAAAAAAATTAGTTCCATAGAATTTTTAATTAAGAGTATGAAAAATTCAGATTTTTAAAGATTTTAATTTGAAATTTTTACAAAATTCAATTATTAGTAACTTCTGCAAAATTCAATTATCTAAAACTTTAAATGAAATTAAATTTTAAATCAATTTTTATTAGAAAGTCCTACAAGAATTCAATTATTCAAATACAAACATAGATGATATTGTATTGTTTGAATAATTGAATGTTTCTTAAATTCAAATTATTATACATAATTTTATAAACACATTTTTAAATAACTGAATTCTTTCAACAAATTTTAATAACATTTTTAAGAATAATTACATTTTTTGAGGAATTCGATTAAAATTGTATTAAAAATAATTAAAATTCTGCAATGAGTTTTATTATTTATGAAAATAATCGAATTATGGCGAAGAACTTTATAAAGAAGTTTCAAAAAATTGATTTTTTTCGAAGAAATTTATGCAAATTCTATTTTTAATAATTGGATTTCTGTGAAACTTTCATTATTTTAAAAAATATAATTGAATATTTGTGTAGAACTTTGTCAAAATTGTTTTTAAATAATCGAATTCTTTTGGGAAATTCTATTAAAATATTAGAATATTGAAAATCATTGAATTAAGAAAATTTTTTGAAAATAATTGAAGTTTTGCAATGAATTTTAATAAAATTTTTGAAAATAATTGAATTCTTATGTGATAAATACTATTATTTATGAAAATAATTGAATTTTGCAATGAATGTTATTAAAAGTACTGAAAAGAATTTAATTTTGTCAAAGAATTTAGCTATTCATTTATAAAGATAATTGAAATGTGGACAAGTTTTTTTAGATTTTTTTGAAAATAATTGAATTTTAAAGAATTTTATTAATTTTGAAAATGATTGACTTCTTGTGATGAATATAGTTATTTATGAAAATAATTGACTTCCTCCAAATGATTTTATTATTTATGAAAATAATTAAATTCTTGAAAAGAATTTTAAAGTTTATAAAAAAAAAAGTTGAATTACTTGTGAAGAATTTAATGCCAAATTTAAAAACATTTGATTTTAACGAAAAAATGTATGCAAATTCTATTTTAAATAATGGAATTTCTGTAAAAAAATTTATTTTTTTGGAAAATAATTGAATGTTTGTGTAGAATATTATCAAAATGTTTGTTTAATAATTGAATTTTTTTGGGAAATTTTATTAAAATAGTAGAATATTGAAAATCATTGAATGAAGAAAATTTTTGAAAATAATTGAAATTTTTCCACAACTTTTATTAAATTTTTTGAAAATAATTGAATTCTTGTGGTGAATACTATTATTTATGAAAATAACTGAATTTTGCAATGAAATTTATTAAAATTCCTGAAAATAATTGAATTTTTGCGAAGAATTTTATTAATTTTGAATATTTCAATTAATAATTGAATTGTTTTGTGAAATTTTAATAAAATAGTAGAATATTGAAAATCATTGAATTAAGACAAATTTTTGATAATAATTGAATTTTCTACTTTTGAAAATAATTGAATTCTTTTAATGAATACTATTATTTATGAAAATAATTAAATTTTACAATGAATTTTATTAAACTTCCTGGAAATAATTGAATTTTCTCGAAGAATTTTGATATTCATTTAAAAAACATAATTGAAATGTTGGCAATTTTTTATAGATTTTTTTGAAAATAATTGAATTTCAAAGAATTTTATTAATTTTGAAAATAATTGAATTCTTGTGATCTTGTTATTTATGAAAATAATCGAATTTTCCAATGAATTTTATAGGAATTGTCGAAAAATTTTGTTTTTAATTTTTGAAAATAATTTAATTTCTGGAAAGAATTTTGAAATTTGTTAAAATAGTTAAATTCTTTTAAAGAATTGCGTTAAAATTTAAAAAATTGAAATTAATTTCAACAGAATTGAGATTAAAATTTTAAAAAAAATTCTTCATTGAATGATTTATGAGCAATAACTTTATATATGGCAGTTCTTTAATAGAATTAAGTTAACTAAAATAAATTATTGTCAAAAATAGAAAAAATGAAAGGCTTTTTTTTAAATTCGTGGTAATTTCATAGTTTGAGGCAAACAAAAAGACACAAAAATTCAGAATTTTCTTATAAATTCTAAACATTTAATTTTTTCCAGTACTTTTAATAAAAATTCCTGACTTTCCCCTGATTTCCCTGACCAATTCTACTTTCTCTGAATTGCCTAATTTCCCTGACCTGTAGCAACCCTGTTTTGTTTCTTTAGATTTACTTCCTTGAATATTTTATAATTCGTTAATTCGTTTATAATTTTAATTATCGTCTCTGATTCCCAGGAAGATTTTTACACGAATTACACGCGAACTGTTCGAAATGGAACAATCTTTTTTTTTATGTCAAAACTTACATTGTAAGTTGGCGAGGTGGCGTTTCCTTTAATGGGCAGTAGTCTGGGAAGTTTACCAGGCGGTGGACTGGTACTTCCGCTACTGGGACTGCTCGTGGTGATGGTGACGCCAATTTTGCCGGATTCTTTGCTTAGAACCTCGGCCTTCCGCTTCGTACCAGCGGGTTCCTTCCTCGGTAGGAGAGGAATGTCAGCGCTGCTATTTGAACTCTCCGAGTCAACGCTGAAGGCGGATGCCGAGAGTTCAGGTGGTATTGACGACTCGTTCTCATCTAGTGAACTGTGAAGCGTGTCCTCGTCGGGAGCCACAGGATTTAAACGCGGAATCGCCGAGGTACTTCCGGTCGACTCATCCTGACTGTCTTCTCCAACTCGCTCATCTCCACCCGGCTCCTCTTCCACCACAAGATTCGCTAATACTTGTTCCTGTAAAAAGTCACTCAATAAATGCAAAATCTTCTACTATTTCGTGAATTATATTTCTTAACAAATCTTTTAATCTTAACAAATACAGGGTTGCCACAAAAATTTAATTTTGTTTTTCCCTGATTTCCAAACAAAATTTTAACTTTTTCTCTGACCCTAACGAATATTCTGAATCACTCTAAAAGTGATTGGATTAATTGTAAAATTATTCAAAAACATCAATAACTTCATTTTTAAATAAATATTTAATCATTATTTTTCTATAGGAATTATGATTTTCAAAAATTTAAAATTCCAAATTTTTGAAATTCACAGACTTTGCACTCGATAATTAAATTTAAAAAAGTAGCAAAAAGTAGCTTTTAAAATAAAAAAGTAGCTATCGAAAAATTAAACTTGAAGATCAAAAAAACTCGTTTCAGACACTTCACTTCACAAAACTGACAAAAATTCCATTCTATATTTTATATTATTTTCCTGACCTTTTTCCAATTTTCATCAAAAATATTTACTTCTTTCTTATCCCGTTATTCACGAAATTTTTTTAATATTTATAAAAATAAAGTAAATCTTGCGAAGAATTTTATAAAAATTTGTAAATTGTTGATTTATTTCGACTAATTTTATGCAAATTCTAATTTAAATAATTGAATTCCTGAGAAATTTTTATTATTCATGAAAAGAATGAAATTCTTAAGAAGATTTTTATAAAAAATTGTTTAAATAATTGAATTCTGTTTGCAAATTTTATGAAAATAGTAGATATTAAAAATCATTGAATATTGCGAAAAGTTTTTTAAATATAATTAAATTTTACAAAGAATTCTATTAAAATTTTTGACAATAATTGAATGTCTGTGTAGTATTTTATTGAATTTTTTTAAAAAATAATTGAATTTCCAAAAAGAAATTTATTTACTTTCAAAAATAATTGAATTCTTGTGATGAATAATTTTTATTTATGAAAATAATTGAATTTTACAAAGAATTTTATTAAAATGCCTCAAAATAATTGAATTTTCGTAAATAATTTTGTTATTTATCGACATAATTGAATTCTTTTGAAGAATTATTTATGTAAATAATTGAATTTTTGGGAAGAATTTTATTAAATTTATAAAAGAATAATTAAATTATTTCAAAAAAATTTAATTAAAATTGTATTTAAAATAATTAATTTCTTTCGAACAATTATATTAAAATGTTTGAAAACAATTAAATTCCTGTGAAATATTCTAATATTTTTGTAAATAACTGAATTCTTCCAAAGAATTTAAAAAAAACATTTTTTTAAATAATTGATTTTTTCGAGGAATGAAATTAAATTTTTAAGAATAATTTTCATTTTTTTGAGCAATTCCTGTAAAATTGAATTAAAAATTATTGAAAATCGGCGATGAATTTTATTATTTTAATGAAAAGAATTGAATAGTTGCAAAGAATTTTGTTAAAATTTTCAAAAATAATTGAAATTCCTGAGAAGAATTTTATTATTTATGGAAATAATTGAATTATTACGATAAATATAAATAACGGAATTCTTCATAAGAATTTTAGAAACATTGTCTTAAATAATCAATGTTTTCGAAATGTAATAAATATTATGAAAATTTTATTTTAAATAATTGAATTCTTATGGAAAATTTTATTTCTGAAAATAATTGAATTTTTCGATTAATTTAAAATAGTATTAAAAGTAATTGAAATTCTTCATTGAGTTTTAATAATTACGAAAATAATTGAATTCTTGCTTAGAATTTTATCACAAATTTTTTTTAAATTCTTCTTTAAATCAATTATTATTTTTAATAATTTTTGAAAAAGTTCCTTTTAAAAATTTTCTAATCCATTTGTTTACAATTCAATTTTACGTGAAATTTCGATTATTCCGAAATTATTCAATTAAATATACATTAGAAAATAAAAATTTGAAATAATATTTTTAAAAAGTTCAGTTAAACTTTTTCAAAAAAATTAATTCCATAGAATTTTTAAATAATAGAATATTGAAAATCATTGAATTAAGACAAATTTTTGATAATAATTGAATCTTCTACTTTTGAAAATAATTGAATTCTTTTAATGAATACTATTATTTATGAAAATAATTAAATTTTACAATGAATTTTATTAAACTTCCTGGAAATAATTGAATTTTCTCGAAGAATTTTGATATTCATTTAATAAACATAATTGAAATGTTGGCAATTTTTTATAGATTTTTTTGAAAATAATTGAATTTCAAAGAATTTTATTAATTTTGAAAATAATTGAATTCTTGTGATCTTGTTATTTATGAAAATAATCGAATTTTCCAATGAATTTTATAGGAATTGTCGAAAAATTTTGTTTTTAATTTTTGAAAATAATTTAATTTCTGGAAAGAATTTTGAAATTTGTTAAAATAGTTAAATTCTTTTAAAGAATTGCGTTAAAATTTAAAAAATTGAAATTAATTTTAACAAAATTGATATTAAAATTTTCAAAAAAATACTTTATCAAATGAATTATAAGTAATAAATAACTTTATGACAGTTCTTCAATAGAATTAAGTTATTTAAAATAAATTATTGTCAAAAATAGAATAAATAGAAGGTTTTTTTAGAATTCGTGGTAATTTTTTCCAGTACTTTTAATAAAAATCTCTAACTTTTCCCTGATTTTCCTGACCAATTCTACTTTCCCTAACTTTTCTCTAAATTCCCTGATTTCCCTGACCTGTGGCAACCCTGAAATAAAAAAATAAAGATCTTAACAAATCAATGAATTTTTTCAGAAGAAATAAATTTTACATTATAACGCGTATCCCTCCTCCTGGGTCGTCTTGTGACGATGTCGGTTCCTTTTTGACTCTCCTCATAGAGTTCAATAAGTCGGACATCTAAAATATTCTCTTCTGGCTCCCATGTATTGTATCTAAAAAAAGAAAATTTGTCATTATTTCTGAAATACAATTTTTTAAACATTAAATATTAAAATTTAACTTACTTCTTACTCCATCCTTTCCACTTGACGAAGTACTCGACTTTCCCCTGCGTATGACAAAAAATTCCGATCAGTAAATTGTCAATTTCTTTTTAATAATTTTATCATATTATTTTCTTAACATAAAAAAATTAAAACTACATTTTAAAAAATGTTTTTTAAACTAAAAAAGCACAAAGAAAGAGAGAGAGATTTAGTCTATGCATTGCAAATATGAATTTGAAACTTAATGAATCACTTCTTTAAGTACAATTTCTTCAACTTCCATAAATCATTTTTCTCACGTACTTTGAATTCTTAACATAAAGTCACGTTCAAGGTTTAAGAGATAAAATTCGCTATTATAAATATAAACGGATTGAGAAAAATATCGAAATGAAAAAGCATGAACGTTCTAGTAACAATTTACTAAATTCTTAACCAAAAGAAACCTATGCTAAAAATTTGTCTAAAAGTTTAATATATAAATATATATTTCTTTATTTACTAGAGGTGTAAGGTTATAGTTTCTTGACAAGTCAATTATTTATAAACAATTATAAATATATTTCGCATAAAAAATCAATTTCTTTGTATGTATTCAAAATTGGACTTATTTTTATCTCGTTAGTTAAGTCACTACGTTTTTTATACGTAAATTTTACTAATATTTTACGTTTCATGTTTGAAATTTTATTAACTAATTTATTGTAATACACTCTAAAGAGAATTATTTAATTTCATAACTAATTTAAGCTTAAAGAATGTAATACCAATTGGAGTGTGAAATTACATTTCAGATGAAATAGAAAATGATTTATAAGGAAATTCTTTTAAAAATTTGAGTAAAAATAAACTTGAAGAAATTTCATAAATTTTGTTATCAAAAACAAATGTCTACTATCTTTTTTTAAACAGAATGCTGAAATCCTAAACTATCTTTATATTCTATAAGTTTTTTCAACAAAGGGAAATAATTAGAAAATTGAATTCGTTATTTTCTTTAGTTGCAAAATTTAATCATGAAAACAAAAAATGCGTTTGAATATTTATAATTTCAGAAACAGAATATAAAACGTTATTGAACAAAATTAATAAACTAAAAAAGTTTCAATTATTTTGAATATAACCTACAAAAATAAATTCAATATATTTAATAAATTCTTCCACAATTATTTAATAAATTAATTTTTTCGATTTTTGGAAGACGTATAAAAGGTAAAAAAAAACACTCTTTTACTTTTTTATAAAATATAGTAAGAGTGTTTTTCTTTTACCTTTTATACGTCTTCCAAAAATCGAAAAAACTAATTTATTTACTAAAAAAACAAAACTAGTTATTTTCAAACGATATTCCAGTAATTTGTAATGATTCAGATTTAGAAATATTCGAATCAGTGATAAAAAAACAAAAAAATTTCTATTGATAAATCAGAATGTTTAAACAGATTTGAAAGCAAAATGTTTAAGATTATAAAGATTATTTACTTTGTTGCAATTCGAAGAATTTATAAAAATATTTTAAGCTTTTGTTATGTGGAGGTTTATGTACCACAAGTTTTTAATGTCCAAATGACGAAGTTGAAGTCCACAACGTTTATCAACGAAAAAAATTTATTTAATGCATTCAAGTATTATTTTTAATTTAATATTTAATTGTAAAATAATTATTAGCAAAATATGAACATTAATCTTTTTTTCTAAATATTTTTGTGTCAATATTGCTGCGTCATTTTTAATTAATTTACAAAGTGAAAAATTTTTTTTCGTTGATCAACGTTGTGGACTTCAACTTGGTTCCAAATGAACAAAATGTTTTATTAAAAATATTTTCAAAAATTGCTGACTGCAACAAAAATTAATAACTTAAATTTAATATTTAGAAACTTTTCTTGTATATTTTTCAAAATTACTATATCCAAAAAGAAAAAACGATCAAAATTTAACATTTTCTTAGTTTAGAATTAAGTTTTTAATAATTTTTCTCTACACGGAGAGAAAATTATATTAAATTTTGTAAAAGTATTTCACAATTTAGGGAAAAAATGCGACGAAGCGAAATTTTGATATGAAAAAAACTTATGTGAAGTTTAGTATAATTATATTAAATATAAAAATTTTAGTTACATTTTAATGTAACTACTAAATTTCATATTATTTCTTTCTCTGTTTAGTATTTTCTGTGTCAAAATTTCTGTTTGTTGCACTTTTTCCCCAAATTGTAAAATACTTTTACAAAATTTAATATTTATTTTCTCTCAGTGTCGCACAATACAAATTAAAAGTAAAAAAACATTGTTTTTCATTTAAACGTTCAAAACTTTAGGACCATGAAAATAATAATAAAATTGATTCGAAGAATAAATATATATAAATTTCATTCATTTGAACAATCAGAACTTTCGGAACATAAATATTTAATATATTTGATATAAATAGATTTGGAAAATTTTGCTACTATTAAACAAATATTATGAGGCTGAAGGCCGCAATGTTTTTAGAAATAAAAAAAATAATAGAATATTATTATTTGGATTTATATTTTAATTATTTATGTAGGTAATTAAGGAGTAAGTTAATTTCTTTAAAAATTTGTGCCTATAAAAATTGGAGATGAATTAAGTTAAAATAATTTAAGTAAAGTTGAAATGAATTTTTTGCTAACCCCATAAAACTCAATTTCACGGAAAAATTACAAATATTGTAAAAAATTTATCTAAATACAAAATTGAGACAAAATTTGTAATATTTGTAATTTTGCTGTGCAATCGATACCTAATCGACAAATAAAACTTAATTTTTAAAAAATGATCATTTCTAAAATATAATATCAGTAGTAATTGTTAATTGTATCAGCAGTATTAGAAACAGTTTCAGTATTATCATTATTATCATTATCATCATCACCATCATTATCACCATAATCATAAATAGTAGTAGTAAAAGTAATAATAAAGAAAGTATTTTTCTTTAGAAATGTCAAGTTTCACTTCCTGCGAATGTAGTTCTATTACTTTCAATCTCAATATTAAGACTTGAATGTGAAGATTAGGTGATTTTTCTTTATAATTCTTGTAGTTTGCAACTAGATCATCCATCTTCTTCTTTTTCTATACGACTTCTTACTGATGCAAGTGGCAAACTAGATCGTCCGTATGTTGAATAACATGAGAAATCTCAAAAAGAATCTCATACTTTAAAGTCACATTCAATGATTTTCTGCACGAGACTTTAAAAATATTTTCTCATCCAGTAATATTGAAATATAACATCATTCATTTAAAATCATCTACTCATTTTCAATGCGTAATTCGCACTAAAGGCTATCAACCATTTTCTATTTCCCTGAAACAAGAGAGTTTCTTTATGGACAAAATTTGTATGCAATGCATGATTAACCTTTTTTTCCAAGCGAATGAAATAATTTACAAAAAAAAGTCTATTCAATGCAAGGTTTCATAAAAGAATCCATTATCAAAATCAGATGCAATTTATGAAAATTGTATGGCGAATTTATTACAATTGGGAGTAAAGACGAAGTAAAGCTGTCTCTCTTTCTCTCTCTCTCTCTCTTTCAATGTATAAGAAATATTGTTCCATCATGTGGCGCCGTCTGGTGGCGACATTTCAAAACATACCCGTTTTTCTCTCTTCTTCGTGATCCGTTCTGCGGCATAAACCCTGTCACCGAGATCCATGACTTTTGATTTTGCACAAACACACTTTTCTCTCTGGAATGTGTCCCTCTTGTAGAATCGATTTTAAAAAATCGAATTCAATTTTTTTTCCTTGTCAAAAAAATTGACTTGACCACGTGTGTTGTTTTCCCCCCTAAACACGAAAAAACACTATTTTTTCCCCACTTCGAAATCAATTTGTCGAAACACGTGCCACAATTTCGATGTAAAGACGACAGTTCGTCGACATGATCAATGTTTTCATTTCGGATTCTCCTGGTTATGCGAAAACGAGGCTATTTTCAGGCCCGATGTTATTGTCGAAAGTAGTAGTAGTAGTGCAACCGGCAAGCCACGAGTGATGGCCGATTATACGTTCCATCTGTGGTGAATTTTTACTTTGTTCGCCACGAGATTCCCGCACTATTTTAACAAACAAAAAAAACCAATGTCTCAAACTTGACTTCTGTCGAGTGTAGTAAATTCGATTTTAAATTGAAAAATCAATATTGAAATATACAACACGTTTTTTTTTTTTGTCAACTTGTGCTACTGTAGTTTCCTTCGGGCGAGATCGGCCAATGACGTCAACGATTCTCCCTCGCCTCGTAAACACCAAACATGGCGGTCGCACAGATAGGCGCCGAATCAAGGTTTCAAAGGCTTTTTTTCATTCGCGGTTCGAAAAAAATAATCACTCCTCACCCACAAATATAAGAGCGATAATCACAAAAATCACTCGTCGTAATCCATCAAGTGTTCATTAAACGGTTTCACAATAATAAAGTTAATTGGCAAAATATCCGTGAGACGCGTTATCGACAAACTGGCGTCTAGTACATTCTCCGGTTCGAAACCGACTAGAGCCGAGAACCTCCGAACTCCCCTCGCTCGTTATGCCGTTGGACTCGTCCACAGTTTGTACGTGAACGGTGGGGGGAGGGGGAGAATGGGAGAAGAGGGAACTAGCGCGCGACGGGGTCGAAGGAAGGGAGAGATATCTTCCAGAGAGAAAGAGAAAGAGAGAGAGAGAGAAAAGTGAAAGAAAGACAAAAGAGTCGGGAACTGAAATTGCAGTGAGAGGCGCAGTCAGGGAAAGAGGATTAAAGAATAGTGGAGGGGGAGCATGGTCACAGGAGCTGTAGGCAGCACTTGGAACAAGAAAGCTGCCTGCCTGTCTGCCGGTCTGTTTGCTGGCTTGCCACCCCACAAGCCCCCCCTGTGTATGCTTCGTGTGCGAGCGAGCCAGTCGGATTGCGACGTTGCCAAACCTCCACTACACTCAACAACCGATGCAAGTCAATTTTTCCCAATACTAATCCAATTCACTTGTTTTAAAATCAATTTCCCTTTTTGTTCACCATTTCACAATTGTCTCTTACAATTATTTCACATTTTTCACCAATTTCCAGTTGTCTTATTTCCGTTAACTGGTAAATCTGGCAATACCGCACGGGCACGACTTTCCTTGAACGTTATGTTGCGAATTGAAAACTTGAACAATCACGAATCACTGTTCCCGTTTACGGCGAAAGAACAAAGGATCGATATATAGACGAAAAAAGAGACGTTTTTCGCGGTTTTTTTTAGGGAAAAAAAAGAATGCAAGCACAAGAGAATGTACTCTGTGTGCTCGGGACACATCACCCGAACTACTACAGTGTCATCCGTTGTTAGGCAAGAGGACATCGCCTGGTCTGGTGTAGGTACCCATGAACCCCATCCATACCGAGAAGTTGGTCGTGTGTATATATAGAAAATGAAGCGCGCTCTGATTGGTTGTACACTTGAGAGGGAATTGTGATTGGTTGAGAGCGAGTTTCAGGGGCCAATCGACGCTTGGTACAACCCACGTAGACGTCCCTTGTCGAATACACAATGGGCGTGGATTAGGTCGTTGAAAGTCGTGCTTCTTCTAAACGTGATACATATCTTCTACGACTTTAAATTCTTTATAGATCCCCCATTATTATAATATGCCAATGTCCGTCTGTGTTAGATGACGGTGGCAATACAACTTTTTTTCGACCAATAGAAAATAGCAAATTCCCTGGTACTATGGAGAAATATAAATATTTTCAAATGGTTTTTTATTTTCTACATATAGGGCTCGAACTAGGTCCCGTAAATTCCGTAAAAGTAAGTTTTTTTTAAAAAAAGGTCCGTAAAGTCCGTACACTGAAAGACTTTGTGTTTCAAAGTTTAATATGATTATTTCCATCAGGGGAAAATGATCTTTTTATGTTAACTTAATCGTATGGATACGTATCAACTATTAATATGGTTCATATTAAAGATTGGTACCGACTATACACATTATTTGTATTATTTTGTCAAAACCTAAAAACATCTTTTTCCCCTGTTTGAAATAAACCATATTAAAGTTTGTAATGAATTATAAAATTTTGAAACAAAAAGTCTTTCAGTGTAATTTTATTGAAAAAAGACGAAAAGTTCGTAAATCATATATAATTTGGAGAATTTTAGAAAAATTACAAATGATTGCAGAAATTGAATTATTTTCAAAAATTTTAATAAAATTTTTGTCAAAATTTCAATTTGATTTTACAAACTTTCCTCCATTCAATGATTTTCAATATCTACTATTATTTTAATAAATTTTTCCAAAAGAATTTAATTATTAAAAAAAATTTTAACAAAACTCTACGCAAACCTTTAATTATTTTCATAAAATAATAAAAATTTCACTTGAATTCAATTATTTTCATAAATAATAAAATTTTTACACGGATTTAATTATTTTCGTAAATAATAAAATTCTTTTTAGGAATTTAATTATTTTTGTAAATATAATAAAATTCTTTTTTGGAATTCAATTATTTTCAAAAATCTAAAAATATTGCGTCATCAACATTTGAATTATCTTTATATAAAAGAATAACAAAATTCTTCGAAAAATTCAATTATTTTCAGGCATTTAAATAGTATATTCATTGCAACCCAATGGAAAATGCCAGTGTAGTGCCTCATTGTTCACCACTGACTTATTAGTACTCAGACGATTGTTCGGCCCCGTATAGTCTAATAGCCGAGTCTCGACAATTAGTGCTGGCGCAGTACAGAATTTTTATTTCGCCAAAGCTTGGACAAGCCACGGCGGCAAGTGCTGGCTGAGTATAAAAAAATTGTTCACGACGCTCTTTGCCAACATTGCTTTTTTGACATAAACTTGAAAAAAATTATAAAGAAGTTTTATGAATGTTTATAAATATAAATTTATTGAAAAAAGTTAATATTTTACTTTTCAGTTAATCATTTTTTATTTTTATTATAAATTTAGTAACAATAATAATAATTTAACATAATTGTCTAATTTTATAAATAATAAATTATTTAAACAAATTAAAATTATAAACAAAATTTAAACTTTAATCTCAACAATAATTCCCACTTGTAAAATGTTAAATGCAATAAGTAAAGTAATTTAATTATTAAAAATTTAGTTTAATTTATTTTATTTCAATTTATTATTTCTAACGCATCCCTTTTTTTTCTCATCTCTGATTTAATAATTGATGTAAGTCTGAATGATACTGAGATATTGAAACTTTACTGCACACACGCGTCGTTAGCATAGTGGTTAGAGCGTTAGTCTGTAAGTCCGTAGGTCGTAGGTTCGATTCCCCTCGTGAGCAATTTTTGTTTATTTTCATATAGGTTTGCGATATTTCTAGATTACAATCGTTACTAAAATATGAAAATCTAATGCACACTTACTGTAATTATGTCTACTATTTAATTTTTAAATGTTATAAACAATTTTTTTCTACTTCATTTACAATATCCATTGTTAGTCTCCATCATTAATACAATGTCTTTAAGAAGATAAATATTTTATGAATTATGGCCTTTTAAAACTGGATAATATACCTTTGATTTAATCGTTTGACCAAACAAATTGGAATTAAACTCTAATCACAGTAACTGTTTTTATCAAAATTGTAACAACTGCACCTAGTCTCCCCTATTAAAAAATAATTTTAGTAAAAAAGACAATTTTGCTTTTATTCGAATATTCTTTTAAATTATTTTTTTAACAGACGACTAATTTTATTACTTTATATAACGCTTAGAATTAAAAATATCCGCTCGCATGTGGGATCGAACTCACGTCCCCCGCCATACTGACGCATACCGGAAGCCTATAACCCACTCATTATAATTGCACGGCCACTATGAACGCTGGGTGAGAACTCTGCTTCTAATCTACTATATCAATGTCAGTGCCATATATTCTGTTACTTATATAAGGACAAATTGAAAACTATGACTAAAAATTGTACACACAATAATCCCGAATTATATTGATTATTAAAAATTAATATTCACTTTCAAATAAATCATTCATAATGTATTATAAGCATTATACAATTTTTTTTAAGTAATTAATATTAATTAATTTATTTATTTAGTAAATAAGATTTCTACTGACCGGAGTGCTAAAAACCCGGTTTTTGGCTCCGTTTGGTAGAAATCTCTTTTTTTCAGTGTTTAAACATTCTTGTCCCACTTTTTCATTTATATGTCCTTTTAGGAAAAAACCTCAGCTTTCGTTTAAAAAAAAAAAAAAAAAAATCGTATCCTTCCCCCCCAAAAATTAAAATTTATTTTTAATTTTGATTTTTTTTGGTCAAAAAATTTTTTTTTTTTAAAATGCTTATTTCCAATCGAAAGAGCATGAAAAAACCTTTCGAAACTGTACTCGGTCAAATTTCCATGTTTAATTGTTTAAGAGTAAAAAATTATCAAAATAAGCATTGTACCGAAAAACCCTAAACTTTCACCCCCTCCCCCTCGAAAAATATTGGACTAAGTTAAAAAATATTTTTACCAAAAATCACTATCCACTAGTACTACAAAAGCCCCAAGTTTAGGCACGATTGGAGAAAAAATTTTTTCCACCTTGATCACTTGACATGGAATCGCTCACTTGCGTAAATAAATATAAATTCACATTTTCCTTATGGAAATGGCGAACTAAAGTATCGAATTTGGTTACTACACCTTGCATAGCTGAAAAAAATGAGAAAATAACTAAGTTTCAGTCGAAAACAAAATGTGCATTTTTGCATGGTGCTGTCAATGCATTCTTTGTTTTTGTTTTGAATGATACTGACAAGTAACACTACCCAATCATGAATCGCGGATCGCATTCTATTATGGATCATTTTTTAGATAATCGAAAAATATTTGATACGTATTTTTTTATTTCGGCTGACATGCAATTTTAGGGGTTGAAAATGGGGGTTGAAAATACCGTTTTTTATGTAATGTGTAAGAATCATATGTGTAAACCAGTAGAAATATTAAGATAATTAATGATACAATAAAAGCATAATGTTAAACTATGATTCTTATAAGATACCAGTTTTTAAAATTCTAAAACAATAATTGTTTAAACAATAATTTTTTAAACAATAATTGTTAAAACAATAATTGTTTTAAAAAGGAAATTGCACAAGAAAATAATAGCGCCATGAAATTTACTATAAGTACATAAATCTAATTAAATTTATTTTCAAAATACAAATTGTTATAAAAAAATTAATAAACAAAACTGGCTTAAACTGTTATTGACGCATATTTGCGCAACTTCAAAAAAATGATTCAAAACTTCTTAAAAATCTCTGAAACTGGTTACTCGGGGGTTTTCGGGGTCGGTGATCACGAATCTGACATCAGTTTTTCAAAATTCAAAATGGCGGATCCAATATGGCGGACGACTATTTTAAAATATGATCCAATTTGCCTGGAAATCGTTACTCAAGGGTTTTCGGTGTCGCTGATTACGAATCTGACATCAGTTTTTTAAAGTTCAAAATGGCGGATCCAATATGGCGGACAATTTTTCAACAATTCTTTCAATTCGCTTGAAATTGGTTACTCGGGGGTTTTTGGGGTCGCTGAGTACGAATTTGGTGTTAGTTTTTCAAAATTCAGAATAGCAGATCCAATGTGGCGAAAGATTTGTTTAAAAATTCATCCGATATGTCTACAAATCGTTCTCGGGGGTTTTGTAAGTCGTTGATTACGAATTCGAGATTCATTTTTTAAAATGCAAAATTGGATCCGCCATTTGGAATTTTAAAAAATTGATGTCAGATTTGTAATTAGCGACCCCGAAACCCCCAGTTTCAAACAAACCCATACAAATTTTTTTCAACACACTTTTGGCCAAAACAGTGGAAATCTCGTTGACAGCTAAAGGGTTAACCTTTAAACCAGTTTAATTCTTGAACTGTTATTTTTATGTGTTAGGAAAAAGTGTTGTAAGTTAAGAAAAGACAATAATTTTATTTTGTTTCAAATCAATTTTTGTTTTAAAAAAACAATTATTGTTTAAAAAATAAAAAATTTGTATTAAAAAAAATAAATTAAACGTAAAATGAGAATATTATTTAATTTTTTAATAAATGAGAAATTTTTTTGTTTAAAGAAGTAAAAATATTTTTTTTTAAATAATTTTTCTCCCCTTGCAAAATACAATATTGAATGGAAGATGAGAATATTATTTTGTTTTAAAATGAATAGAAATATTTTTTAAACAACATTTTATTAAACAATTGATGTTTTAAAAATTAAAACATCGTTTTCCAAACAAAATAAATTGAATATAAGACGAGAATATTATTCTGTTTTAAAACAGAGTTTTTCGGGATACAATTCGATCC